TGGGCCTGGGTGTGGATTAAATTTTGTCTGCAAAAAGATGTATTATTCCTCTGGATAGAGTGGGAGAACAATGTGGAACAAAACTCAAAATCATTTGGAAAAAAAAAAAAAAGACCAGGTTTGCTGGTCTGAGAGAGCCTGATGGAACCACTGAGACTATGGCCCCTAGCTGCTCTTCAGATCTGGAATTAAACCCACTGGTAGCGTTGACTGCTAATCAGAAGGCTGGCGGTTCAAACCCACCAGCCACTCCTTGGAAGGAAGATGGGGCTATCTACTTCCATAGTGCCACTGCCTCAGAAACCCAAGGAGGGGTCGCTATGAGTCGGGTCCGACTCGAAGGCACATAACAACAACCTGTGGCTTCCAACCAAACAAAAGACAGGCATATGATGTTAACATTTACACTAGGCAGATACACTCCTTGGAGAGAATAATCATGGGAGAATAGAAGGGATGTATATACACAGGGAGACAGCTCAGAGAACAAGAGTGCATGGAGGGAAGGACAAAGGGAAGAGGTAACTATGGGGAGGAAGTGGGAGACACTGCACTGTGGGAAATTGTAGTCAATGTCATGAGACAAAGTATATGTGAACTGCTATATGGAAAGTGAATTTGCTCTGCAAACTTTCACTCAAATCACAATATCACAATTAAAAAAAAAAAAGACACATTATTCCTAATCCCAAACCAAACTCATGGCTGTCAAGTTGGATTTGACTCATAGTGACCCCTCCTTGGGTTTCCAAGGTGGTATCTCTATGGAAGTAGGTTGCCGCGTCTTCCTTCTGAGTAGTGGCTGTTGGGTTTAAACTGCCAGCATTCTGGTTAACAGTCAAATGCCTTAGGCACTAGGCCACCAGAGCTCCCAAACCCCTGTACCTGTGAATTTGACTTCATTTGGAAAAATAAGGTGAGATTTTTTTGTTTTTGCAAATGTTACCAGTTAACCACATGATACTGAAGTAGGGTGGGTCCTAATCCTATGACTGGTGTCTTTATGGACAAAGTAGAGGGTAGTCCAGGGAACAGTAACACACATGGGAAAGGCAGATGCCGTATAACGATGGAGGCAGATTCATCTATTAATTGTTGTTGTTGTTATGTATCAAGTCAGACGTGACTCATAGCGACCCCTCCTTGGGTTTCTAAGGCAGTATCACTACAGAAGTAGATTGCCCAACCTTCCTTCCGAGGAGTGACTGGTGGGTTTGAACTGCCAGCCTTCTGGTTAGCAGTCAAGTGCCTTAGGCACTATGCTAGCAGAGCTCCTTCATCTATTAGTAGCAAAGGAAAACCAAAGATTGCCAGCAGCCATCAGAAACTAGGAGAAACATATAAAACAGTTCTCTCTCAAATCGCTCAAAAGAAACTTAAAAGGCTGTTACTCTGATTTGAACTCTAACTTTCAGAACTGTGTGAAAAAAAATAAATTTCTGTTCTTTAAGCTACCCATTTAATGGTATTTTGTTATGACAGCCCCAGGAAAGAAATCAAGACAGGCTCCTAGCCACTCAATATCCAACCCCTCTAACCACTATTTGAACTTTTACATCCATACGTGACTGCTGTATGTACTCTTTTGTATTTGACTTCTTTAATTGAATATTGTGAGATTAATTCACAATATGTAAAACAGTAGTTCTTTTTCATTGTTGCTTTGTGGGAAAGACAGATAATTCCATTGTATTACTATTCTGCAATTTACTGATTCTTTTTATTGTTCAAGAACATTTGGGCTGTTTCCAGCTTTCGGCTATTATAAATAAAAATGCTAAAATAATTTTGCATATACCCTTTGGTAGCCATACACCCTTCTTTTATGAGTATATACCCAGGATTAAAATTGCTAGGTTACAGGATATATAATATAGGAAATAATAATAATAAATAATAAGTAAGTCTGTGTGTGTGG